TGACGAGGGCAGACGGCTGTGCTAAGGGCTAAGACCATGGTTCCCTAGCAACACCAACGCACCTCATGTGCACTCTCAGGCTGCCGAGACCGAGGGACATCAGGGTTACACCCACCATTTCCATCAGTGTGGAGTAAAGGGACCCCAAGATCCTGCCAAGGAATGGAATCCCTGGTAGTATCGCTGTAGAAAGACGAATTCTCATGTGCAGTGATAACTCACTCCCCGTGGAGTCCCAAATGCAATGTGTCCACAGGCATGGAGGGCAGGGCTGGGATGGTGCCTGCCTGCTGCAGGGTTTGGAGTAAACACTGTACCCTGTGCTTGGCTGCAACTCCTGTCCCCACAGCTCCTGCAAGATGGGGCCAGAGGCCAGAGTAAGAGACACGAAGAAGGGAAAGAGTTTGGAAGCCTGGCAGTGTGTGGCATCCTCCAGCCCAGCGTACAGTTTCTGTCAGAAGGGTTCAGAGGCCTCTGCAGTGCAGCTCAGGAAAGTGCTGCGGCTGTTACAAGCAACACTGCAACCTGGAGAGCCGCAGGCTGGGCACCGGGCTGCAGGGCTGGGGCTGCTGCTTCTTGAGAAAAGGCTCTTGAAACCAACCCTCTTCCTCTGCTATGCCTCTAGCACCTTGTGACTTCAAACGGTTCAAGTGTGGGAAGAGCACGTTCTCATGCAGCCTGGGTGACTTTGAGGAAGCCACTAAGCAGAGATCCTGAGCAGCCCTGACACTGTCACCTCCAAGCACAACCATGTCCCAGCTGCTGGACCCCTCAGAAGCCTCTGGAGCCCAGTGACTCTCCCAGAGCCCTAGCTCCAGGGCAGCCGTGTCCACGGCTGTGCCTCTTGGGGAGAGAGGCTGCGTGGGCTATAGACGCCCTTTTGGCTGGTGCTGGAGACCCTGGACTGCGGAGGAATAGGCCTCCCCTGTTCTTTACCTTGTTTTGGCAAAACTGATCTGTTGGCCAAATCTATTTCTGTTGAGTGCAAGACCAAAAACTGTGCTGATATGCAAACTTTGTCAGTGGAAAGAATGAACCACTCTTCCTCCCAGGGACAAACCTATGTGTTCTGGCTTTTCCTACCCTGATTCTTCTGCCATATTTGGAGAAAAACTCAATTCTTCTTTTTATAAAATATTTTTTGTAGATTTTTATTTTTTTCGAGAGAGGGGAAGGGAGAGAGAGATAGAAACATCAATATGAGAGCGAAACATCAATGGGCTGCCTCCTGCACGCCCCCTACTGGGGATCGAGCCCACAACCCAGGCATGTGCCCTGGCTGGGAATCAAACTGGGACCTCAGTCCATGAAACGATGTTCAATCCACTGAGCCACACTGGCCGGGATTTCTTTTTTTTTTAGGTTGTTTTTGGGGACTTGTAGACACTTCCCTAAACCAGGCCCTGCTGGGACTCAGCAAACTGCTCTGAGGGAAAGCAAATGGCCCCTTTCCACTGGCTGAGCACAGTCTCTGAGGAGGCTGAGTTTTGCAGGTGTGTTTGTGATTTTTTTTCAAATCCTCCCCCGAGGATATTTTTCTATTGATCTCAGATAGAGTGTGTGTGTGGGGGGGGGAGAGAGAGAGATGTGAGAGCAACACATCAACTGGTTGCCTCCCACACAACCCGGACCAGGGCCAGGGACGAACTGCAACCAAGGTACTTGCCCTTGACCGGAATCGAACCTGGGACTCTTTGGTCCATGGGCCGACGCTCCAACCGCTGAACCAAACTGGCTAGCACGTTTGTGAATTTGAAAGAAGAAGAAGAAGAAAAAAAACTGGGACTGAGGCATGAACATCATATCCAAGATAAAGGAAATATCTGAATCCTTCCCTCCATCTTTCCCCGCAGGACCCGGGCAAAGAGACACAGAAAGTGAAACAGGGAAACCAAAAGTGAAGTGGTTCACTCACGGTTCACAGGACTTTCTCATCAAACAGAAGTTATCTTGCTCAGAAAACAGAGGGAAAGGAAGTTAGGACATTTCCCCAGTCTGGGGCTTTACTAGATACGGAAGCTGCTCAGGATCTAGGTGCCACCTCTGGGAAACTAATATCTGCCTATTTGAGTCTCACGAGGGGAGAAAGATTCCTTCTTCCACCCCTTTGAGCTCCTTAGAGAGTCAAGTGGCCATACAGAATGGACAGTGGCTGGGTTTCTTTATAAATAACCCAGGAACATTTTGTGTTTTCAGTGTTACAGGGCTGGGTTTTCCCAGCACACAGGGCTCTGGGGAGACGTGCGACCATGGTGGCTCAGTATGAGTGCTGCCGGGGACCCAGCGCTTCAAAACCTCATTCAGGCCACTGAACAACCACCTCTTTCAAGATTCTCAGCCCCAGGCCCTTCCCTGGAACAGCCCAGAAGTTGCATCTCCGGGGTGGACCCCTCAAAGTGCCATGTAGGAGGCAAGTCCTTTGGCTCTAAGGCTGACCCAGGAAGTCTGGACTGGGCCTGCCGGAGGCTCCTGGTCACCAGCTGGCACACAGCCTTATGGTGTCAGCCTGCCTAGGAGCCTCAATATTCTCTTTTTTAAACATTTTTTTTCTTTATTATTGATGTTAGAGAGGAAGGGAGAGAGAGATAGAAACATCAATGAAAGAGAACTTGAATTGGCCACCTCCTGCATGCCCCTCACCGGGGATCGGGCCCACAACCTGGGCATGTGCCCTGACCGGGAATCTTGGTTCATGGGTCGATGCTCAACCACTGGGCCACACCAGCCGGGCTCAATATCTTCTTTTGAGGAGAATGCTAAAGAAAAGTCTCATGGCCCGGCCAGTGTGGCTCAGTGGATGGAGCGTCGTCCCATGGACTGAGAGGTCCTGGTTCAATTCCCAGTCAGGGCAATTCTCAATCCCCAGTTGTGGGGCGTACAAGATGTTTCTCACTCACATCAATGTTTCTCTCTCTCTCTCCCTTCCTCTCTCTCTAAAAAAATCAATAAAAACACATTAAAAAAAAAAAGTCTCGCCCTGGCCGGTTTGGCTCAGCGGTTAGAGTGTCGGCCTGCGGTCCGGAGAGACCCGGGTTCGGTTCCCGCTAAGGGCGTGTACCTTGGTTGCAGTTTGTCCCTGGCCCTGGTTGGGTCGTGTGGGTGGCAACCACTCGATGTGTCGCTTTCACGTCGATGTTTCTCTCTCTCTCTCTCTCTCTCTCTCTCTCTCTCTCTCTCCCTCCCACTCTATCTGAACAAAATATCGAAAAATGTCCTCGGGTGAGGATAAAAAAAAAAGTCTCATGGTCTCTTTTCACGTGTCCTTTTTTTTCCCCTCACTGGAGGACATTTCTGCATCTATCTTCAGATACAGTGGGAGGAAGAGAGAGAGAGAAACATTGATGTGAGACACATCACTGGTTACCACACACATGACCCCAACCAGGGCCGGGGATAAACTGCATCCGAGGTACTTGCCCTTAGCGGGAACCGAACCCGGGTCTCTCTGGTCCGTGGGCCGATGCTCTAACCACTGAGCAAACCAGCCAGGGCTCACGTGTCTTACTGTGATTGATGAAAAGATGCTAATGTAATCCAAATAAAAGAGGTAAATCAGGGACCTAAGAGTGCAGGCAGGGCACTCCAATGCTCAGAAATGGAAAGCAATAGATTTAACATTATTTATTCCCTCAGAACACACTGAGGCCTGACCCTCTAAGGCTGAGTGACCAAACCTCCCATTTTGCCTTCTCTGGCTCCCACTTGACCCAGCTCCCCTAATATTTTGCTCGTTCTCAGATTTGAGTTCCTGCCTCCGTCCTCTTCGTCTGACAGTTTGCTTTCTTCCCTCCAAACTCCCACATCTTCCAGAAGCCAGAAAGTTGGACATGAGGCCTCCAAGTTCCCAAGTATATTTTAGATCTGTCCAGGAGCCTCCCAGGACATCTTCCTGAACTTCCGTGTCCTGTACTAGTTACATAACAATCAGTCCCCAAAGCGCTGACATCACCCACTGAAGGTTCTCACCAGCCTGGAGAGCCAAGGGGACCTGTGTGGCCAGGGATGATGGCAGGGGAATGAGCCAAGTGGAACAGCCAGGAACTGGTAAGGGGTACCCACAGGTCAGAGTAAAAAAATGGTAACTGGTGGTGACCTTGAGAAGAAAGCAGAAGTATTTGGGTTTTTTAATTCCCCCAAAGTTCCCACAAAATTTCACTCTTGCCCCACATTTCCCCTCCTCCCCACAAAGGGAATTTCCTCTTCCTCAAAACTCAGGTGGTCAGAAGACCTCAACTTCCTCTTCACCCCGACCCACCTTCCACAGATGCAGCCTCTCAGGAAGCTCTCTTCTCCCCCATGTCCTGGGTCATATGCATCCTCCACTGCTTCTGTCCATCTCCCAATCCCCTGCCACTTTGGCCTGAGGGAATGTCACCTCCCGCTGCTTGTCAGACTTTCCCCAGTGGCCTCCTCTCCCTCCCCATTTTTCTTTCCCCAGTCACCACCCCGCCTTGGATGTTCTGCTTTCTCTACAACCTCTTTCTTACACCCCCTCTCCCAAAGCAGACAAAGATTCAAAGATGGAAGGAGTGTCAGGGGGGCAGGGGCGAGAGGAGAGGAGGCGGCGAGGAAGGGCAGGGCTGCTGGGCCGAGGCCGCAGGCGCCCACCCAAGCGTCCAGGGAGTCTGAGCCCCTGGGAGGAAGAGGGCCGTTTGCGGCGGTAATTGCGGGTGGGGCGCGTGGTCGGGGAGCTGGGGTGTTTAACCGGGCGTCTCGCGGATGCTGGAAGACCCGCAGGCCCCCCGACCTCCTCGCACCAGACTCCCACTTCCCGCCTTTCCAACCGCAGCACTTCCGCGAGCTGCCCATTTAAGTGTGAGGAGAAACAAGTGTGGTTGCCATAGCACCCAGGCCAGGGGCTCAGCAAGCGGAGCTCGCGAGATTTGGAATCGGCCAATGGGAGGTGGGGAGGGAAGACGTGGCGCGGGGTCCGCCGGCAGGGCCTTACCTCCCCCTCCCCGTTCCCTGCCCCCCTGCGGCGCGCACGCCGGGACGCGGAGACCGGCCTTATAAAGGGCGCTCGCCGAGGCGCGCGCCTCGCACCACAGAGGCGCTGTGCGGCCTGTGACGTGCGCCTGCGCAGCGCGAGCCCCTCCCCGCCCCTCGCTCCGCCACCTCTCCGCCCCTCCGCTGGCCGGGCCCCGCCTCGGCTGCGCGCCTTCGCCCCGCTTCCAGCCGCCCCTCTGCCCCGCAGCAACCAGCCCGGTCTCCGGCAGCATGTTCAGCTGGGTCAGCAAGGATGCCCGCCGCAAGAAGGAGCCGGAGCTCTTCCAGACGGTGGCTGAAGGGCTGCGGCAGCTGTACTCGCAGAAGCTGCTGCCGCTGGAGGAGCACTACCGCTTCCACGAGTTCCACTCGCCGGCTCTGGAGGATGCTGACTTCGACAACAAGCCCATGGTGCTGCTCGTGGGCCAGTACAGCACGGGCAAGACCACCTTCATCCGGCACTTGATCGAGCAGGACTTCCCGGGGATGCGCATCGGGCCCGAGCCCACCACCGACTCCTTCATCGCCGTCATGCACGGCCCCACCGAGGGCGTGGTGCCGGGCAACGCTCTCGTCGTGGACCCGCGGCGCCCCTTCCGCAAGCTCAATGCCTTCGGCAACGCCTTCCTCAACAGGTACTCGCCCCTCGTCCTGGGGAGCAGGGGGCGGCCGGAGCTCCGACCCTGCACTCGGGTCCCAACCCTCCCGCCGCCGCCGCCGCCCCGCCGTCCTTTGTCTCCAAGGCTCCGGCGAGACCCTCAGCGACCACTCCCTGGGACAGGGGACAGGGCCCCCTGCCGCTTCGTAGAAAACCCACCTGTGGCTCTAGGAGTGGACGTCACCGGCTCCCCCGGGTTCTGTAACCCCACCCCACCCCCAGAATTTTCTAGGTTATCAGTTTAACTCCCAACCCACTCCCACCGCCACCCCCGCAGATCCCAGCCCCACTTCCCTCAAAACTAGGGGGTTAGTCTTGTGTCCACATCCTTCCTCCGGACTGGACGCATCTAATTCATTCAGACCACCCCTTCTTCCCTCAAGGATCTGTTTCTTAAGTGGAAAAATATGGTGAAACTTTTAGCCATACCCTTTGCTGGTGAGCTGTGCTGTGCCTCCCCTGGGGCCGGTGGTTTTGTGTGGAATAGGGAGGATCTGCTGCAGCCTGCCGGGTTTGGGGCTGCAGACAGATGGGGATGGAACACTTCTCTCAGGGGCTGTGCTGCCTAGGGGTTACTGGAAGCAGCAACAGGTGGTGACCCAGTGAGTCCTGGAAGGAGTCCCTCTGAGACTCACTAGGAGGTTCCTTAACCTATTTGGGCCTTAATTCCCCCAGTTAAATGGGTGAAACTTGCCTTCTCCTGATGAGAGTAATTGATCCTCCAAGATTCTAGCCTTCATAATGCTATGAAATGCATTGACTTCCTCTCAAGGAGTGTAACAACCAAATTCACGTTTTAAAAATATATCTATTTATTTATTTTTAGCGAGAGAGACATCAGTTGGTTGTTCCACTTATTTATATATTCATTGGTTGATTCTTGTGTGTGCCCTGATGGAATGGAACCTGCAGCCTTGGTGTATGGGGACGATGCTCTAACCAACTGAACTACACGGTCAAACGCACTTTTCTGTAAAGGAACTGGGGGGTCCTAGTCAGTGTTCTTAAAATCCTTACCCCCCACCCTGCCATGAGGCTTACCGGGGGACTTCATGGATCAGCCCTCTCTGCTACCTCCCATTTAAGGAGTGACTGGACGTGCCTTTCGAAGTCTGGGTAAGAGCCTTGACTCTCGCCTTCCAGGTCTCCACCCTGTATGATCACATTCCTTTCCAAACACTGTCCAGCTGCACAGGGTGGACCAGCTTGCCCCCAATCCAAGCCAGGGCCAGGCCTATTTCTAGTCACAGAGCTGACCATTATCAGAGAAGACAGGCTACTGTTGTCTTTTTGCCCTTTTCAGGCCTTTAAGCCTGTCTTCCTATTTTATAGTTGATGGCATTTGTGTGTCAGGGCCTGCGTTGAGTAAACCCTTTGGTGAGGGATCCTGAAGAGGCGTGGCCCTATTAGCCTGGACCCTCTCTCCGGAGGAAGCTGGTGTTTAGAATTATTGTGTCTGTAGATAGGGGATGGGCTCAGACTGTTAGCTGGTGGGCGCGGTGCAATCTTGTGGAAAATTTGGCTGCTATGCTGGGAATTCCAAGCATTATTAGGTCCCTACTTTCACGCAGAACTTTGGGAAGCTAGAAGGAAGGGTAACTGTACCTACCTCGTTTTCCCTTAGGTCTCTGTAACAGAAAATCTTTGTTGTTATTATTATTATTTTTTTAATCCTCACCGGAGGATATTTTTCCATTTATTTTCAGATAGAGTGGGAGGGTGGGAGGGAGAGAGAGAAACAAACATCCATGTGAGAGAGACGCATCGACTGGTTGCCTCCAGCACAACCCGACCAGGACCAGGGACCAAACCACAACCGAGGCCTGTGTCCTTGACCGGAATCAGACCCACGACTCTGGTCCATGGGCCGATGCTCTAACCTCTGAGCCAAACCAGCCAGGGAGCAAACCTTTTTTTGAAAGGAGAAACAGGCACGTGGCCCGTTCATTTTTTTTTTCTAGAGAGAGAAAGAAACATGGATTTGTTGTTCCACCCACTCATACATTCATCAGTTGATTCTTGTATGTGCTCTGACTGGGGATCGAACTCACAACCCTGGCATATTGAGACAATGCTGTAACGAACTGAGCTACCCAGCCAGGGCATATGAACTGTTTTCTGAATTTGCAGACCTAACGTTTCAGAACTGGAAGGGATCTTAGACATGTAGGCAACCCTACCTCATTAGTTCAAGAAACTATCCGGCCCCTGAGCCAGGCAGATTTGTCCAGCTTGCCCGGCAAGTGGATGCAGTGCTGGCCGTGCAGCTAGTTGCTGCGGCTTCTACTTGGCAAAAAGAGCAATTCAGGAGTGTTCTTCCGTGATGTTGGTACCCCAGGGACCAACAACCACACTGTTTCCTTCTTGCCACCATCTCATCTCCAGAGGGTCCCCAGATGCTAATGGCCCTGCCTAAAGGGCCCTTATTAGCTGAGGGTATGGGGGGCATGGGTTTGCATTGGAGCTGAGGCCTGAGCTGTGTCAGCCTGTGCCTCCTGGCCAGCCAGGGCACACAAAAGGGTCTCTTCTCTGGCTGACACAGCCTCTCCCCGGGCTCTTAAAGAGACCCATTGAGTCATGAACTTGACTTTCTGGCCTTTTCCCCCTAAGTGGCTGTTCTAAGACAAAAATCTTATGGAGCAGACTGAGGGAGTCGGCACAGTCAGGGTGTCCTAAGATTGTCCTGTGAAATCAAATTGTATAACTGTTACCTCCCACTTATAGTGGGAAGTGAAGTCTGTGCATCCTTGGTGAGAAAATGGGATGGAATGAGATGTATCTATACCGATTGCTCCCCTCCGTGTTTTCTCCCACAGAGTACTTGTTTCTGAGTCCCCCAGAAGTTAACTTATGCACCAGGCTCATTTACAAGGCATTTTTATGTATGTACTACCCAGAGCCAATTTTCAGTTTAGTGTTCTCTGCAGTGACTCCCTTCCCTAGCAAGAGCCCCAGGTCTGGCACACACTTGTTTATAGCACACAGGCTCTGCTGCTGGCCCTGGGGAGGATGACGTCCAAGGTTCGTTCACCTTGTGGATCAGCTGGTTTTGCTCTGTTGTGTTTGCAGGCAGCACCTCTCACCCTCAGCCTGTGGGCCACTGGTCACCTGGGGGGTGGGGCCAAAAGAGGAAGCTAAGTAGCTCAGAATCCTCCCTAGTATTGGAAAGGCAGCTTTAAGAAGTCTGCGTCCTACAGACATTGGGTCAGTGTTTTCTATGCTCACAATACCTTTTTCAGAGGTTTTTTTTTTTTTTTTTTGGTACGTGCCCCTAGTGGGAACCAAACCCAGGACTCTGGTCTGCAGGCTGACACTCCAACCGCTGAGCCAAACCATCCAGGGCATGAGTGTTTTTTTTGTTTTTTATTTTTTTTAATCCTCACCCGAGGACATTTTTCCATTTTTTTTGTTCAGATAAAGCGGGAAGGGGAGAGAGAGAGAGAGAAACATCGACCTAAAAGGGACACATCGAGTGGCTGCCACCCACACGACCCAACCAGGGCCGGGGACAAACTGCAACCGAAGCACATGCCCTTAGCAGGAACCGAACCTGGGTCTCTCTGGACCGCAGGCCGATGATATAACTGCTGAGCCAAACTGGCCAGGGCTGTTGCTGTTATTGTTTTTTTTTTTTTATAAGAGTAGCATGCTGTATAATTTTTTTTCTTTATTGATTTTAGAGAGAGAGGAAGGGAGAAGGAGAGAGATAGAAACATCGATGAGAGAGAACATCAGTTGGCTGCCTCCTGCATGCCCCTCACTGGGGATTGGGCCCACAACCTGGGCATGTGCCCTGACCGGTAATCGAACTAGCGACCTCTTGGTGCAGGGGTTGATGGTCAACCAGGGAGCCATTCTGGCCAAGCATCTTTTAAGCCCTCACCCGAGGATATTTTTCCATTTATCTTCAGATAAAGTGGGAGGGAGAGAGAGAGAGAGGGAGAGATGTGAGATAGACGCATTGATTGGTTGCCTCCCGCAGACCCCGTTGGGGCTGGGGACAAACCGCAACTGAGGTATGTGCCCCTGGCCTGAGTCGAACCTGAGACTCTTTGGTCCGAAGGCTTACACTCTAACCGCTGAGCCAAACTGGCCAGGCCTTCAGAGAAGTTTTTAAAGGAGCCTTTTCTGTGTCCAGTCAAGAACCTCTGCTATCAGTTGGGACAGCCCCTTGCTGTTCTGGGCTGTTCTAAGTCCAGTGGAACTTAGGCACACATAGCTAAGCCCTCATTAGTTGCTAGTCTCTCCATGGCTTCATTGTTCATTTTTCCTCTGCAGGCTTTGACTTTCAGAGAATGGTGTCTACTCCCCTGCCCCACCAACCAGCCTGTGTGGTCTCCAGCTTTCACTGGTCACCCACTGCAGTCCCTTCCCCCAAGGAGCTGGGTGGAAGGGGAGGCTGGCAGTAGGAAAGGACCATCTCTCTTTGGTGTGTGGAAATGTAGCCTGCGGTTGAAAATTGTAATGTGGAGTCCCACGGTTCCAGTGTCACCCCCACGGTTCCAGTGTCACCCTTCTGCTTCCCTCTTGGGATTGACCGGTGACCTAGACTCATGCAATTTTCACTAACATGTCAGCAACTTGAACGCTAAACTCTTGAACTCTGGAGGAAAGCTAATGTGAGGGATGTGCTGATGTGGGTCAGTTTGAGCCTGCTGGTTGGATGTCAGTAAAGAGACTATGTACAGTCTGCTGGCCACCCCTGGCAACTAAGATGATAGAAAAGCTCCTGTAAGTTTTTTGCTCTTGGAAAGGAAGCAGAAGTAGCGATAGAGCGCAGAAAGCACCATGTACCCTGTAGAGCAGCAATAACTGAGTCTTGACCTCTCTCTTCCTGGCTCTTGCTCTTGCGCAGGTTCATGTGCGCCCAGCTGCCCAACCCGGTCTTGGATAGCATAAGCATCATCGACACTCCCGGGATCCTGTCTGGGGAGAAACAGCGCATCAGCAGAGGTAAATAGGCTGTGACACAGCCTGGGGCACCTGCGGTGGTTAGACTACTTCCACCTGAGGTCTGTGATTCGGACCACATGCCGCCCTTGAGGTCTATCCCAGGCCAAGTGACACCCCATTTCCCATCAGCCTTGTGTGTCCACAGTGCTCCGAGCCCTGACTGGCAGGAGCTGCTTTCTTCCTCGTTCCCTTTACTAAAGTGACAAGAGCCATCTGATGAAACCACAGCCAGTGTTGTGTGGTTTTCATGCTCTCCAGCCCCTGGGCCATGCTGGAAAGGAAAACAGGATTGGGAGATGGGGCCTCAGGCTGGCTGTGAGGTCATAAAATATTGCTTAGTATCTGGGCTCCAAGGTACTTCAGCCAGCATGGCTGACTGTGAATGAGCCAGCCCTGGCTCCCCTGGGCTCTCTCACCTCAGTTTATGTATTTTTTTTCCTCACAGGAGGACATTTTTCCATTTTTTGTTCAGATGGGGGGGGGAGGGAAACATTGACGTGAAAGGGACACATTGAGTGATTGCCACCCGCATGACCCAACCAGGGCTGGGGACAAACTGCAACCAAGGTATGTGCCCTTAGCGGGAACCAAACCAGGGTCTCTCTGGACCTCAGGCCGACACTCTAACCGCTGAGCCAAACCGGCCAGGGTTCAGTTTATATTTAAAAGCTTTGCCTCTCAACATCATATACATTCCTAGTGAGTCCTGCAGGCCTGTGAGAGAACAGTTGGACTTCACAAGCCACCAATGTGCTTAAATTTCAGTAAGCAGTAGCCTCCCTGGGTGCTCTGCATTGTGGCAGGTCTTTGTGCTAAGTATTAGTGCATTAGGCCCATTCGAGTTGTGTAAACTCCTGGTTCGATTTTGCCAAGTTTTTCTGAAGATCTGGTTCAGGGTGTGCCTGAATTGGGTTCTATTTCTGCTAGTCCCCCTCCTCCCCACTTTGTAGAAGGGAGGGGAGCTCGGGGCCCAGAGGAGCGTGAGGGCAGGCAGATGATATCTGGCAGGCTAGGAGTGGAGCCTGTGGCTGCAAATGTGAAAATGAAACCAGAGCAGCCCTGGCTAGTTTGGCTCGGCAGTTAGAGCGTCAGCCTGTGGACCAAAGGGTCTTGGGTTTGATTCTAATCAAGGGCACGTACCTGGGTTGCAGGTTCGATCCCTGGTCCTGGTTGGGGTTGTGTAGGGGAAAACCAATCTATGTGTCTGTCTCACATCAATGTTTCTCTTTCCCTCCCTCCCTCTTTCCCTTCCACTCTCTAAAAATCATTGGAAAATTATCCTCGAGTGAGGATTAACAACAACAAAAGAAACGAGCAAACTCAAAAGAGGGGTTGCAAACAACAGAGCAATTTGTTTATCATCAACTTGTAAATTTTTCCTGCACCCTTTCCCCTCTGAGCTGCCCAGCATTGATGAGCTTTATAGTTGGAAGCCAGCAGCCTGAGACTTGGGGCGTACTGTGTCTCTGCTGTGGCTGTGACGGATGGGGCCCAGCAGTTGGTGCCGACAGACTGCTTCTCTTCCCTCCCAGACCTGTGGGCCTCTGCCTATAGGATTGCATCAGAGCTTACTGAACCTGCTCTAGCTCAGTCTCCTGATCTGTCTTAAGCTGTTACGTTCTTCACCTGAGGATAATGATATCCTAGGAGTTCAAGGGAGCAGATTTAGGGACCCCTTTTAAAAGGTGAGGGCCAGTTTTCTCTTACTGCTCCTGCTGTTCCAACCTGGTTTTAAGAAAGTGCCTGATAAGCAAAAGCCTTGTCATTTGCCAAAATAAGGCTAGAAAAGCTGAATCAGTTACTTTTTTTTTGTTTGTTTTTTTTATCCTCACCCGAGGACTTTTTTTTTTTTTTTTCATTTATCTTCAGATAGAGTGGGAGGGAAGGGGGGAAGAGAGAGAGAGAGAGAAACATCGATGTGAAAGAGACACATCGACTGGCTGCTACCCACACAACCCCAACCAGAGCCAGGGACAAACTGCAACCGAGGTATGTGCCCTTAGCGGGAACCGAACCCAGGTCTCTCTCAACCATGGGCCGATACTCTAACCGCTGAGCCAAACCGGCCAGGGCTGAATCAGTTACTCTTAAAGGGAAAGACCCACAAAAGGGAATTGATTCTCAGTCTCTCTCCAGGGTTGACTTCTTTGAGCCTCTATAGAGCTGTCTTTTTAAATGATTTTCTTTAAAAAATATGTTTTTATTGATTTTTTAGAGAGAGAGAGTAACATGGATGAGAGAAACATCGATTGGCTGCTTCCTGCATGCTTCCTACTGTGGATCAAGCCTGAAACCTGGGCATGTGCCCTGACTGGCAATCAAACTAGGACCTCAGTCCATGGGACAATGCTCAGTCCACTGAGCCACACTGGCCAGGCTAGAGCTGTCTGTTTTTTAATCCTCACTTGAGGACACTTTTGCATTTATCTTCAGATAGAGTGGGAGGGGGGCGGGAAAGAGAGAAACATTGATGTGAAAGAGACACATCGACTAGCCACCACCTACACGACCCCAACTGGGGCCGGGGGCAACCCGCAACCGAGGTACATGTCCCTAGCGAGAACCGAACCCGGGACTCTCTGGTCCACAGGCCAATGCTCTAGCCGCTGAACCACACCAGGGCTAGAGCTGTCTTTTTAATGACCTGGAGGAGTAAACAGAGGGGCTTCTTCTGACTGGGGACCACCTCTTGGCTTCACACAGTGCTCCCAGCCACAGAGGCCAGTTGATGTGTACATATCTTTGTATAAAAGCCAATAGCTCACAAAAAGAGGCTTATCTTCCCAGACTGCGACCTTAGTGTGGTCTTCAGAGCCAGAAGTTAAGGTATTTGAGGGAGTGGATTTCGGGTTCTTGTGGCCCCTGTTGTCATGAAAAGGGAACTCCGAAAACTCTTTCCACCAGTGTTGGGAAGTTCCCCTGCTGTGCTGTCTTTGATACTTCAGCTCATGTTTTTAGAGCTTAGCCAGCTGAGAAGTTGGGAGTGTATGTCTTGATACATTAGGTACCCAGGCCCTGTCTGCTAGGATGTTGCTGTCCCCTGCTTCCCCTTCTCTCCCACAGCAGTGCCTCAACACGCCCTCCAGTCACACAGACTGTGTGTGTGACAGGGCCAGGGAGCGCATGGTGTGCAAGGCAGCCCTGGCCCTCACGCTGTCGGTGTAGATGGCAGATACCTGGAGGAGGAAGCCAACAGGAGATGGTCTCCATTAGCTTTCCACCCAGCTCCACCTGTGGGCCCTGCCTATTCCTCTCTCCAGGTGTAAGGTGTTGGTCCATCTGGGTCCCTGGGCAGCCACAGGAGCCCTCCCCATCTCATCCTGGACAGGAAGGAGGGTGGCTTAGAGATAAGTGAACAGCCCTGGCTGTGTATCTCAGTTGGTTAGAGCATCATCCTAATATGCCCAGGTTGTGGGTTCGATCACATACAAGAATCAGCCAATGAAAGCATAAATAAGTGAAATAACAAAAATCAATGTTTCTCTCTTCATCTCTAAAACCAGTTTTTAAAAATTAAAAAAAAAAACAGATAAGTGCATTGTTCTGATTTGAGAAGGGCTTTCCTCCTGTGACATAGCAAGACATCAAACTGATTTTACTAGATCAGTTTTTCTCCTCCATAACCCTAGAGGTCTTGGTTTAAAGCATTTTACTAAAAGTTACCAAGTTGGGATCTGCTGTGGAATATGTTTGGTGTCGACATGTTATCAGCAGGAGAAAGGCCATCATGCAGGGCCTTTTAGATGTGCTGGGTGTGGGTCCAGGGGTAGTGACCACTGGGTGGATGGAAAAGGAGTGGATTTCTCCTTGAGGTCCCACCCGTCAGTTATTGCAAAGGTCTCTTGTTGCCGTCCAGCAGGGGAAGTCAGAGTTGGGCAGTGTGTTCCAGGTTCCCCGGCTGCCGCCTCTGCTCCCTTTGCTGGTGGTGTGGAAAGCAGGTGTTTCCCTTGCAGAAAGATAGGGCCGGCAGAAACCCTGGGTCCCAGGCAGGTCAAGCAGCATGAGCATCTGTGGTTTGCCAACCTCACTCCCTGGAAACAGAACATCTTTCTGGAGGTTGGGTGTGCATTCCTTGCTAATTACATCCGCTTCTGCCTCCCACCCTACCTGCCTGGTCCCTCCTGACTTTTTCTCCCTGGTCCCCGATGTGTGCAGGAAATACTGTCTGGAAGATAAGATAGGACCTGTGCAGGCCCAAAGCAGCGACACAGGCCAGGCTCTGCGAGAGACCCCTGAGAATTGATACGGGGAGTCTTGGGCTATACTTCCCTGTTGTGCTAATCTCTTGAGTGACCTTAAAGATAGTGTTCTCCTGTGTCAGCAGAGAAAGTGACCTTCGGACACCGCGCTCATTTCTGAGTGCTGCCTGTGTGACAGACAAAGGCATTCCAAAAGGCGTCTGGGGCTGGCTGGCTGGTGCCCTCGCTCCCTGGCTCCTGGCTGCCTGTGCAGTTATATCAGGGTCTTTGGTAGCAGTGATGGGAGGTACCCTCAGGTCGAAGTCCCAGCCCGCCTTGTACCTGGCTTTCTCCATGTAGTTGTCACCGCAGCTGTACCTAGAGGAAGCTACTGCTTTTCAGAAGAGGAAACGGAGGCTTAGCAAAGTTGAGTCATTAGCCCAAGATGACACATGGGCTAGCAGTGTTGGCACTAGGATCGGAGCCAGCAGAAGTTGTGCTCACACTAGGCTGTGCTGAGAAGAGGGTGCTCTGAGGTGAAGGAGCCCCTCAGAGCTTGGATGAGAAAGTCTTTGACCCTCTTAGGTCATTACTGTGCAGGGCTCTGAGCGCTCTTAAAATAATTCTCTCCTGGCCTGAGATCAGAATGGACCTGAGGTGTCCGGGGCTTTGAACAGTGTTGGGATCTCTTTTTTCCCTTGTTCTCTGTCTCCAGCCAGAAATGACCTCTCAGGCCATCCATGCACACGTACTGGGAGCCCTGACTAAGGCTGGCTGGCCCCCTGGGTTCTCCCTTGCCCTCTGGCTCCCTGTTCCCGGTTC